GTCGAATACCTGCAGTTGAATGTGAGTAATCGTTTGCTGGCGGTAGCTTTTTCTGATCTTACCATTAGAGTTCGAGAGTGAAGACTCTTCTGGTAATCCTCGCTCTCAAAATACTTGCGCCGGAGTTGGAGAACCTTTCTGTAGTTAAACCAAAGGAAGCCCATGACGATAAAATTGAAGCACCAGGCGATAATGACCTGGGACCAAATTGCCGGAGCATATACAGTGAGGGGAGTGATGTTGATCACCCAGTTGGCTGTTTTATCACCCTTATAGTCCAGCCACCTAGTATAGTTGATTGGGAGTAAGATACCAACACCAGTGAAACACAAGGTAAAGAACATATTGCGGCACATGCGAACGAAGCGCAGGAAGACAGTGGCGTCCATACCGATCAATGGTACAAGCTGCTCTTCTTTGGTCTGCCATAATGTCGTGATCCACGACCACGGGGCCTTTCCTATAGGGGGCGGTACGTGCTTCTCGTCGGCATGTTTCAACTTGGGGGCATAAATGGCCTGGTGGTATGGTCGTAGAATCGAAAAGATGATGGCAATGCCGATTGTGACTGGGATCGACGTAGCTAAAGCTGAATACACCGAGGCAGCTTGGAGCTGACGGGCGGCGTTAGCGGGGACGGATACTTGCGATATCTTGGGTCAGGACATACCTGTTGACTGAACGGTTCTTGAAGCAGATCGAGCAATTGCTTGCCAGGATCCTCTTCTTGCCGCCGACCGAGGGGGTGGGCTGTATAATCCATATTGGGCGCGCGAGCTGCGCCAACAGGCGAAGACGTTGGTGCTTATCTCGAATGTCTAACGGTGCTGCAGTGGATGGCACGACGACTTTCCCCCGAGCTCTCCGACTTTATTGTTGTCGGCCACGTGTATAGAGTTGAGATTGACTGGTTCCAACTGGGGATAGTCTCGTATTCGCAGGGGTTCAGAGGATGGATCGCAGACAAGATAAGAGCTGATGAGTACGAGACTATAGGGGCAACTGGAGAGATGTAGATGTTCGAGGTCAGGCGCCGCTTGACAGATCAATCGTCGTAAACAAAGAGCCCTTGGTAAACGAAAGTCGCTGTGTCGTTAAAGAAGCTTAGTCGGGAAGGTCCGTGAGCGAAAGGACGAGGCGCCAAAAGGGGCGAAGCGAACGGAATATGGCGTCACTCAGGGACAGGCGACGATGATGGGGTAATATAAAAAGAAAGAAACAAAGGAACTGGATAAGGTCCGATGATACGGAGAGATGTGATGTTAAGGTTGAGTAAAGTAAAGGTAAAGTTAAGTAAAGAAGGAGGCAAAGGTAAAGAAGGGTAAAGTAAAGTAGGGCTGGGGGTGGAGGTTCTATTCGGACTAAGACAAGACTAAGAACTAAGGAGCCATGACAATGACATGGTATGGATCCTATTATCATGGGGGTTAGACTCTACAGTCAGGTAGACAGTTTTTTTCTTTTGGGGAGAAGCCATCAATAGAAAAAGCTTGGCAACCATTATGCATCAAAGTGGCAGCGTGAGGGTGAATGAAGCCAATAAAAAGTCCCCTGTTTTAGAGATGCTCAACCAAGCGCTAGGTAGCCATGATAGAATGATCGAGACCTGTGATCAACAATGTCAGTTAATGACCACATTAAAAATGCCAACAGCACCATCCTTCTCATTCCTAGAAATACGATGTATTGCTGGTTTTTTGAAGTCTTCATACCATCTCCGTACGGACTAGGTACAAACAACCAACTGTTTACCCTGGCACGCGGCCTCCGTGGGGATAAGACCTCACCAAGTCCCAGCTTCAGACTCTCAAGTTGCTATTTTTGACGCCTCTCGACCCGCTACAGTGGGGACCCTCTTCAACCGTAGCACGGGCCGGGAGACCCCTGTCAGCCAATCGTCTCCCTCCCTCAAGCTTCTGGATACGCGACGCCTCTCGGCCTCTGCCCCTGCATTGGATGGATCCCCTGGAACTGGGACGTGAATTTTTTTGGCGTCTCGAAAGACGCTGAGAATACGAACATTCCAACAGACGTGCCCTTCCAGAAGGGGAAAGTGATGGGATGCTCTAGCCGGCACTGGCACTTTGCTGGCCAAACGGTTGATGTCAAAGTTTTGGCGATCGATCTGCCTGCGTTACAACGCTTTCTTTCTACGACGTCGATCTTTTTTTGCTCTGGGCTCTTTGTTGTTGGCTTTCAAGGTGGCCTTTGAGAGACATGTCATGCATTGTTCCTGACATGGATTGAGTGGCATGAATGATAATAAACAATTAATTAATCTTGCAGTTTCTGACACTTGCGCCTCAACCGCCTTACCATTCATTCATTTACTGAATCTCACTCATTCCCATTCTCACGCCCTTTCCCTGCAACAAAAATATAAAACAGATGGATCTTGATCGATGCCCAGTACCAAGGCCCTTTTACCCGCCGCGACTCGCCACTTACAAGTTAGTAAAATAGTTCATGCTCAATGACATATCGACACGCAACCCGATCGCAATTGGGAAAACAAATCGTGTCAAATCGGGAAACCCAAAGTCCCCAAAAAAAAATAAAAAATCTCACGTTTTATGTGCCGAGTGGCCCGTCGAGCTACCAAAGCTTGTTCGCAATTCTGAAACAACCAACGAAAAAGAAAGCATTTTCCTCTCTTCGTGATGTGGCCACGTGACGTGTACGATTCCACGAGGCCTCATCCGACGGGAGGTACGTTATTATCTACGCAACTATGGTCCCATCGTGAAAAAGAAGCTTAGCATCTCTACCTATCCGAAGTGATGAAAAGCTATGAACAAAATCATCACATGTTGAGGAATCCTTCACATTTTTGACACCTGACTTAGGTGTTTAGGGTAGGGAGGTTTACTGGGTCCCTGAGGCCAATGTTCTCAAGAAACTGCAAAAGTTGAGGAAAATATATAGTCTGTATTGACATTACCGAAGCTATCTCTTGAGGGCGAGCTTGAATTATTATTTTGTTGCTTTGTTGGCGTTTGATCTTCTGTTGTGTCGTATTGTCTTATTCCATGGCGTCCCCAAGATGAAATTGAAGTCTGCCCCTAGTACGCTCGAAACGATATGCGCGACCAGAAATATGGAAAGCAGCCAAAGCCCAGCAGATAACTTGATCGAAGATAATAACTTTTGCAATATACTTTCGCGTCATCTTGTCCAATGGTCGGCCCACGTTGATAAATGGCGACCAGCTTCTTTTCTGTATTGCCTGGATTCCGTTAACCGTAAGACGAACGGCCGAGATTTGTAGACAGAGGACGAAGCATTGCTTGTGGAATAAGTAGTAAAAAATGTTGAAGATTGGTCAGGTGCCAGAGGGTATAACTGGCACTGGGTAATCGAGCAGCATCAGCTCATGAAGTAGGGTGTAGGGCGGATATTGGGCGAATGCCAACAATGCATGCGTCCTTGGATCCCCTGTATGCTTGAGAAAGGATTTGGCGTAGATGCCTATCAGCTGAAGCAGAGCTGAGAGTGCAGTGACGGCGATCGTTAGCTGTATGCTCCTATTGAGGATCGTGGTTAAGGACAGCAGATGAATGCTATTTAATGTCTCCGAATCGAGTGTCGTACTGGAGCGGCTTAAGAAGAGGAAAATATCGAAGTCTGTGGGTTCAGTCATGAGGCCTTTCATCCCTTTATATGTTTCTTGAGGCCACTTCTGTAAAGTGAAAAACATCTCAAAGTTGTGAATGGAAAAGTTTTATGATGATAAACTTCATAGGAAGAGTCATATCAGAGGCGTGATAAGTACAATTCATGATAGAAAGCTTCTTTCCTTCCACAAAAGATTTAGGAAAACTTCTGACCGTATAGTCTAAGGTCTTCTAAAGTTATACTGATATTGACCAAGTCTTCATATTACTTAGGTTAGAGACCCTAAGTTTTATTGTTTCCCCTATCTCGGGTATTCGATGTTCATTTTTCCCCTTAAAACTTAATGCAGGACTGGCTGCCTATCCATAAAATGAGAGGTGATGCCTTCAATTCTGCGACTTCTCTCCACTCCCATAGTGAAGCCTAATCTTGCTATGTGAGTCACAATGAGACTCACGGCGATGGAAAGCAAGCTTAACCTCAGTATCGTAAGTTCTGAGAATATTCTGGCCAAATTCGTGGGTTTGATCTACTAAGGCAAATATTTTAATCATGCCATGTATACCGAGTAACAGCGCCATCAAGCCGGCTGACACTCAAGTTAGTCTGACATCCAAAAGAAGAGGTTAGATGATCAAGTCAAGCTTATTCAGCCCTATATTATACCACAGATAAATTTAGATACAGTCTGACCTAAGTTCTCATACACTGGCATTGCCCGTCTTATGACTACGGAATCCTCCGCTTCTCACTCATGTGCTCGGTGAGAAGCCGCAGTCAATCTCTTGATAGCCCGAGATCCTTCTCTGCCAGAGAATTATGAGAAGTGATAGCATTAGGTCTTTCTTTAAAATATCAGATGCATCATGAAAATCGGGGCCCTTGGTGAGATATTCATTTTGCCTCTCTCGGCACACAAACTAACTAATGGAGATGCTTGGAAAGAGTATCCTTGTGCTAAACTTCGGAATTGATAGTTTGGATCTCTCCCCAATTAAAGACATATTGAATCAGTGGCAGATGGCAAATTATAGAACTGAGGGGGCTGCAATGAGGAACGAGAAGTAACAAGACCAATATCTGTGAGTCCTGAAGTGGGAGTGAGCAAGCAACAAGCTCCCGGGCTGATGAAGCTGCACGTTCAAAGTCGAACAAAGACGCGATCCAGTAAGGTTCAATGTCGAAGGGTTAGAATACACCATTAAAAGAACAGCTTTGGAGCTATCGAAAGATCAACGTCTCGGCATCTGAGGCTTGACTAGATGACGCAGCGTATCTTCTATTGCTATCGTTTGCTATCCGTATCTCTGAACCAAATCTCTCATAACATCAAGAACCCTGTAGAGAAATTAGGAGCTAAAGCATACAGCAGTTCAAGAATGGCCTCACTGAGTGCGAAGTGTCTCGTCACCTACAAAAAGGGCTGACACGTGAGTGTCAAATCTCCTAAATCGATGTCAGTCCCGGCGACCAGGAAGAGAGAGGTGTACTTCTTTACTCACAGCCTATAGAGGTCCAGCCGACCCTCAAAGTCTTCTTCAGGTGCCGAAATTTGGACAAGTTTGTTGTAGGCAGTGATATACTCATCTCCAAACCTATTACATGCTGGTCGCCATTGTCCAAACTCATCTGTCGAGCCAAACTGGTCAGCAGAATGAATGAACCCGTCGAGGGAGGGAACATACATTCGTTATGCGCAAAGAAGCAACATGCATCAAAGATTAGGGGTTGGTTGCTGTCGGCATCGATCCCTGCATTCGCATGCCAGAGATCCCCATGGATTAGTGAAGGCTTCACCGTTCTGCCGTGACTCTCAAGAGGTTTTAGGAGCCTTGGGATGACCTTTTCGAAAAGTGCTTCCGAGAGAACCTCTAGCTCGTCGCTATTTCCTTTCACTTGGATCTCCAGATCAAGAGCCTGTTTCATTGACTTGGCGAAGAAAGTCTCCCAGCTATCTTCCCATGCCACGTACTGGGGTAAATTTCCTGCGTAAGTTGTGATGTGGAAGCCGAACTTTCCAGTAGGAGATACACTTTTCTGGTGCACTTTTGACAAACCAGAAGCAAACTGGTCAGGGTCGGGCATTTTCTCCGTCATTTCTCGAAACTCGCAGAGGAAGAAGTGTGTGTCTGGTATGGTGTCGTAGGTGCCGCAAGCGATGGGTTTTGGGACAAATTCTGGTGTGACTTCATGTATCGCGCTCATAGAATGAAACTCTCCTTTTGTCATGCTCATGCCTATCTCCTCCGAAAGGACCTTGACGAAAAACGACTGAGGCGTACCATCGCTGAGCAGAACATCAATTCGACCAGTCTTGGCCCAAAAGCTGACTCCATGAGCATTGATGGAAGTTATCTTGCATCTCTCTGGTAGCTCTAGTAAATCAGTCAGTACAGAGTTGATGCTTCGCTGGCGGAGCCTCTTTTCCAGCTTACCTCTCAACACAGCTGGATCAATCCTGAGAGTGCATTCAACTAGGTTAACATTGTTATGCTCCATCTCAATTCATGTTAAACGTGTTCATTATACGCCGCAACATGCGACCAGGTTTCGAGAGGGGGAACAGGCTTATTAAAATGTAACTATAACGTACGTTCCTGGTTTGATGGCATGCACCCACTGATATGCCCGCCGGCCTCATTAGTGGTCGCTCATCATGAAATCAAGCATAAACGGCAACCAACAGTACGTATGCTCAGGCACGGCCCTCAAAAAAACTCAGGACTTTAGAAGAGGATGCCACAAAAGACTGAGTAAATAGTCCCCTAAACTGAGGCTAAATTGACTAAATGTTTTTGTCGCTTAGGGTCACGGTCCTAAGTTTTCTTGCTTTGGTGATGATCCGCGAGGGTCGGTAGAAAGTGTCGTCTCGAGCCTGATAAGTTTCACGGAACACCCTAGTGTGCGTCTTTTCTCAGCTGAGCCCATTTATCGTAGTCAATGCCCGGTCATTGATATCTCCATGATTTTGTCACGCCAGTGTTCAACGGGGTACACGACCTTGATACCATTTGCTTCGAGCTTTTGCTGTCCGTCATTGTTTGCAATAAAAGTTCCTGGCTCCCTGATCCCCACGTAAACAGTCTTAATGACGCTCTTGAGTCTCAAGATCCTATTGACGCAAGTCATGTTGCCGCTCAGCCTCTCATTGCAAGGTTCCATGGTTGTATATAATGTTGTATCTTTTGGAAGGACCTCGTGAATGCTTTCCTCAGGAAGGTTGTGCTCATCAGCTATCTTGATGAAACAGCACTGCTCTGCGTGTGTAGTTCCTGGATCTCCTTTGTAGTCTCGCGAATATTCCAGCGAGTACCCTGTGGATATAACTCTGCCTGTGGCTGCGTTGACAAGGACAGCCCCGACGCAAAACTTGTTGGCAGCTGGCGGTGACTTTTTTGCTTGAGTAAGAGTGAACTCCATGAAAGCTTCATGATCACCTACTGCAAACGTTGGATAGGCCGCTGAACCCATGATGAGTGAGTATTACGCAATAAATCGACACTGACTCCAGTAAACGAAACACTTAAAGAGCTGCTAGTTAATTGGTATGTTCTTTACATATGTCATGCGTGGTTTTTTTTGAGACGCTCGTGCTATTGGTCTGCATGTAACATGGGCGGTTACCCCAACAGCGGAGTCACAATAGACATTCAAAGGGTTGCTGACACCCATCCCAGGTGTTTGGATTCTGATATACAAAAAAAGAAACTCGAACTTTAGTATGCAGAAGATAATGAGGACTTTCTGAGTTTCGTTCTAATTTGTGATAATAGTGATTGTCTTCTATCCCTCAGGAGCGTTTCCAGCCATTATCCCCGATTCGTCTCCTCGGGTTCAACCAAGTTGCCTTCACATCTTTGCTCTCGACCCGTATCAGCCGCAGATATATACATAAAATGCGGTACCAGAGAAACTGGAGTTTTCAAGACACTTTTCGCATCTTAAGTAATTCTTTTATTCCAAACTCTTCTATTCTAATCTCAGCACAGCACGTTCTTATCCCCATAAGTAACCGAAAAGCACTTGTCTCAGCAGGCATTGACCTGACCACGATGAGATCGACAATTGACTACTTACATAGAATCCTGGGCACATGATGTCTTGGTACCAAAGACAGGCAGCTGACGATCCTGCGGTAGCAAGAACGTCGAGTCCACTGGAGTCGGGGAATGACGCAACAGTGAGAGAGAAGACAAAAGCTGTCAAGGGGATTAAATCTCTTAGTAGTCGAAGTTAGAGATGTAATTGGACCTGAAACAGTGTAATAATAGCCACGGAGGGCTGTGGTGGTGTACGAGTTATTGTCACAGTCATTCGCAGAGCGTAAAGAGCATAGCCCCAAGAGCCAGCCACGACGACACCAACGGGATAGCACAGAGGTTTCTCGGAGACCGCATTAAATATGTAGATGTAAGATACCCAGATGCACCACGAAGAGTCCTCGAATTTGCGAAAAAGATTGCAGATCTTCGGCGCGCAACCATCGAGAAGGCAGGATTTGCCGGCAGCTAGGCGATTATTTACGATTACGAGCTTCCAAGCGAAACCAAGGGTACTGATGAGAGCTTCTTGGAGGGCCGTCTGTGATGGTTCAGAAAAGTCCTGGTGATGTTTGTTTCGGGGGTCAGGGGTTGAGAAGATGAGAGTCATTGTCCATGCCGCAGCGATGCTTTACATCGCAAGGCAACACGATGGTAAATCCCACAAATCCACTGAATGTGAAAAGTTGTTGCAAACAACTTTCAGATCTTGTTCCCAATGATCGCTAATGATGCCATAAAAGTAATTTTCTTTTATGGTAGGAGGTGGCCTGACAGCTGGGATTCTTTGGGAACGGCCGATCAGGTTTTTGGCGTTATATGAGGCCTTCAAGATGGAACGAGAGATTGAATAGGAGAAGTAACCCATTTTATTCCACTGCCCACTGCATAACCCTCACAAATGAAAATCCGGACTGGGATCCATTGATGCTGGCATCGGAGCTGAACGAAGCGGTCCCGCCATTACGGTAAGGTTGGAAAGGAACGATGATCCAAGGACTTCAGTATTCCCAAAGCCGATATAATTGCCGTGTGTCCCAAGATCTCCAAATGAAGGCGACCATATGTTGATAAACGGACAGGAGTAAGCCGCACGAAGGCAGCAGGCCAAGAGACATTTCCAGGCTTGGATTTCGGCTACAAGTAGCCCGGGTCGGGTGGATTGTATATCTCCTTGCTGATATAGTATCACAGGTGAGTGAGCATGCAAGGTTGGACTTCTGAACCACCCTGCTCCGGAAAAGGAGCCACATCAAATCGCAGTCGAAGTTCTAGGATAATTGGTGGAGTTTCCGCGACCGATTGTTCTTAAGAAAGAAGTATAGAATTGGATTATTCGAAGGGACCATAGGAGCAACTTCTAGGTGTGAGGCGTTGATTGAAAGAGGTCCAGAATAACTGGATGTCCGGCACCCATGGACATTTGCTCATAGCGCTCAAGTGAGAGCTTCAGAGGCCTCTAAGGGTCTTTTGCGTCAATAGCCAGAAGTTTGGTGTGGTTGGTGTCATACGCAGATTAGGGCATCGAAGATTATCGGTATTCAAGGATTGCACAGGTGGCATTCTGTATGTAGGCGTTGGTTGCTGGTGTAGTCGTAGTGCAAATAATCATAGGCAAGACCTAATTGCTAGATTATCTGGGAAGTATTCTATTCTGTAATTAGACTTAATCCTCAGGAAGAAGAGCTTGAGACATACCAATGACTCGAAAATGTTGTATCGCTGCGGAGAGATATCGCTGATGGAGAGAAATGGGTCGCACTCAAGTCCATTTCGAATTCGGCAGGCGTAATGTTGATAGAGCGGAAAGCACAAGCTAATGAAGAAGGGTTTTTAGCTGCTGCTGTAGTTGAAAGCTGACCGACAGAGCTGAAAGCCCAGGCTAATCAAGAAGGGATTTTGGTCGTTGAAATCGATATCGAATGCCAAATCTGCGGCCCGGAGGACGCAAGGGAAGGCAAAAACAACGTAGGGCCACCCGCCATCCTAACTGACAAAAAGGCTTTAATGAATTTAGGGACACTTAGGCAAGATCCAGTAGAACTTCAGATTACCTAGTCAGGGTTTTTGAGAGCTAAGTTTATACAGATGAAGGGCTTTTCGGGCACACGCAAAACGATTTTATAGTTATTATCGCTTTAACGCTTTATTGTAGCGAGTGTCTGTAACTATATTGGTATGAAGAGAGGAAAATCGCCAAGTGCAGAGGGACCTTTTACATGATGAAGTGATGATTTTAGGTAGGTATACTCCTTCGTCTTGAACAACCTCAGTTTTCAATCCTTATGTGAAGTGGACGCTGTGATGTGCCCATTTGGCAAAAACACAACTAATATTGGGATTTCCAATTGTCTTATTCACGTGCCGCCAGGAATTCGGATCTTGCAAGACAAGCCGCGGTGTTGGGATGTTATTGGTATCCTGAATGACGAGGAGAAAGGCTACTTCTAGAAGATTTCTCCCATTTTTGCCTCGGTATAGGATTTCTGAAAGTTTCCACCTCGCCTCACGGAAAACTGAGTGAATTTGAGAACGTTTTTAGATGAGGATATTGTGATTGATGTCTGGAACTCAAGTTAGAGTCTCTCCTATTGGAGAAAGATTGATGGATGGATGATAAGTTACCTCATTATTTTGCCTACTGGAAAGCTTCATGTATTCACAAAACTTTCTGTGAACTCCTTTCATCTCATTGGATGTTCGCCATTAAAACTTCGAAAACATCTTGGTGCTAAATAACTTCCATTTGTATGAACCCTATCGATGTTTGGGCAAGGCAACAGAGCAAAGTATGAGAACTTTGTTTCTTACACAATGATATAAATAGCGCCCTTCTGATACTCGTCTTCATTCATTTCCATTTTCCTTATCTCCTCCACACCTCAAACCCCAGAATCAAAGTCCTAAATCGTCAAGCTACGGATACAGCCTCAGTTCACTACTGCTTACTACGAGATCTTTGTTGAGAAAACATCGAAAATGATGATCACAACCATATTTTTGTTTCTCTTTGCTCCATTCTATGCTGCCATCCTCAGGATATGCACCGGTGGCCCTCCACCAGAAGCTCCCAGTCATCTCAGCTGCATCCGCCGCCTCGAGTACTATCTATGCCACAGCACATATAGACAGACGCTCGCCGGTATGCTTCCGCTTCTCTTCTTCGGCCACATGCTTATCGCGATCGATGAGGGGAAATATTCGCCCAGTATATTGTGGCCATCTTCGAGCCCAACTCCCATTTTGCAGTTCTTGACAGTGATGCTGCTGTATGCAGCTATTGTTCTCCTGCTTACAGTATATGGAAAACGTGGAGACCCAAAGGCTGAGGCTTCCGAGAGGATGGATCTATATCTTTCAGTCATAATGTACTATTGGTACTGAGCTTTATACAAGATGGAATGTTTGGGAGGTTGAGTACTGCTTTATTGGGGTCCTCTGCGTCTATCGAGAAAGTTTAATACTTGTTGACAATGTAGTTCAGCCCAAATAATAGCTAAAGCTTATATGAAGCTCAGTGAAGTGCTTCAAGCCCTAAATAGGCCCAATCCCAACTCTAAGTCACATTGATTCATGCTGTAGAAATTGGTCAGGCATTGTGTTATAATGTCCAAGTTGTGAGCCAGATGTGTTATTGCAGTTGAGACTTTTAGAGTAAGAAATCAAGTAACATACGTAGCAAGTTGTCAGAAACCCTGGATCTTAAGCGGGAGGGGTTGGGGCTGAAGCGACAAAACTCAGTGTGCATGATATGCCGACTAGCATCAGACAGGGGATGTAGCGCAAGTAAAGAGCATTATAGTAGCGAATGTCTTTACCAATATTGGTATGAAGAGAGGGAAATCACTAAGTCCAACAAACATGTTGATATCTCCCTTCGCCTTGAGCAACTTCCGTTTCCAATCTTTGTAGAAATGGAAGCCGCGATATACCCATTTAGCAACAATACAGCTCATCTTGAGACTTTCACTTGCCTCTCTTGCTTGCAGAGCAGGAAGGAGTCCTTTCAGGGGAAGTCATCAACGCCCGGAGCCAGCTGCACGATACTCACACCAACTTGGGAAGAAGGAGACAGCGCAATAAAGGTTTGCTTACGATTCACAACTTAACGTTGGAAGTTACACCTCCATCCAGCCATTACCAGATCAATAAGATGACATACTTTAATGATGTGGTGGGACACTCGTTTTGCCAGTCCCAGCTCTGAAGCCCTTTATTTAAGTTTCATTTGTATGAATGCTATTAATGTTTTATAAAGTCACAGCAAAGTGTATTTGCCTTATTTTTCTGTAAAGTGGTATAAATAGCCCTCATTCCATTTCAAACCTCACTCCTTTTTCTTTTCCTCGTCACCTTCATACCGAAAAACTCCAACCTCAAAACTTCACATCGTCAAGCTAAGCATACGATGCCCTCGTCTCAAAACCAACAGCCATGTATGAAATATACACACTTTGGGTCCTGTCGGCTATACCCTGCAGCTGCATCCTCAAGATGATCACTGGCCCTATGCCAGCTGCTCCCAGCCATCTCAGCCTCATCCACCGCCTCAAGTACTATTTGTGTCACCACGTCTATAGACAAACGATCTTCGCAGTCGCTGTATTCGCGATGCTCGGACATTTGCTCATCGCGATCGAAGAAGGGCTACATGGTCGGCTATTCAAGGCAAGTCAGCTTTTTCTAGACTTCCTGATTTCTATGGCGACCGCTGTAGTTGCTTGTTTCTTTGGTACAGTATATGGCAGACGTGGACCTCCGGAGGCTGAGGCTCAGGTGGTCGAGGAAATAAACGATCTCTATCTTACTATCGTGCAGTACTATTGGTACTAATCTCATACGAAATGGCATTTTTGGGAGTTAGATTCCAGCCCAGAGCCAGTATAAATTTTGTGAGCGACAATATTTGATCGGCTTTGGACACTGGAGAGCGAAGTGCCCACAGAGAATCTTTTCCCTCTCAAGTAATCTAGGTACACAGCAACTTTTGCCTCTCCATCATCTCAGCACCAAAAGCCTACCGCACCAGCTCAAAGAAAAGTGCCCCACGGGAAATTTCTACAAAGACTCAGCAATAATGAGAACTCCCGGTATCAATTTGTTGAGGCATCTCTTGATGCTTTCATTCTTCTCTTTCCTTGTCAGCTCAGCACGACTCACTTCATTCACGATTACCATAAACACATCAACCAGCATATAGACAGCTCTTCACTTCACCCTTACGGAATATCATGAAATTTCAACACAAACTCCGCCAATTGGCAAACGAAAGTTGCATCCCGGCCTTGACGTTCAGAACCTACTCCACTTCTCCGAGGCGGATCCCCGAAATTGGCGCTGTGAACGGAGGAAACAATGGATGGGTCTTCGGTACTTGGTTGGGCTTAGCTTGAATGAGCAGCGCAGGTGTTATCAGTCTAGTACAGCAATATCACGGCAGACACAATCGCTAATAGACCATTCTTATCAATAAAGCACTGTATAATTAATGAAATGGCAAATGCAAGCAGTGTTTACTACCTGACGCACAAATATACCCACAAATCCTTGAACCAGGCAGATCTCGGGATGATGTTCCTTTTCCCGTTCCCATCCGCCATTTTCGCCGTCCCACCCCTAAATCATGTGCTGCAGCATTCATAAACCATCATGATAGATTAAGGAAAAGCCTGCAAATTCGCATTGCTACTAAACCTCAACAGGACCCTGACTTCGTGTCTTACGTGCCGTCTTCCCGGCAACCGGGGTGGCCTTCTTGTCCTTCTTCGCAGCTTTCCCGTTTTCGTGCTTACCGTTTGGCGAAGTATTCTCGGTGGCGGTCGGCTCATCTGCGACATCTTCAACGCGAGCCTTCTTCTCAGCACGCTCCTCCGACTCCGACTCCGACTTCTCGGTCGCATTGGGAGCGGATGCGCCGTTGGTGGCAGCAGGAGGCTCCTCAGCCTTACGCTTTTCGCCTGCAGCCGCTTCGGCGACATCGTTGACCTCGGGCTTACTAGCGCCGTTGATGCCCGCTGGCTTGTCGTCGGCAGCATTGTCAGTCATAGGAACATCCTTTGGGGCGGAGACAGCAGGCGCCGATGTTGGAGCATCAGTGATGAACGCATTCTCGTCCTCATTCTTTGGCGTTTCCTTTGGCTCTTCTTCGAGGTTGAGCACGGGTCGTGGCGTGCCGCCTGCGGGTGTCATATTGTTGACGGGTGTCTCTGGTACAGACGCAACCTCAACGGGCTTCGGCGGGGCGCTGAGACCACCGGTTCCCTCAGTTGGCTTGGATTCTTCCGGCTTGGCGGGCTCCGAAGGAGCTGTCGCGGTGTCGAAAGTGGGAGCGCCGGCCTCGGCCTCGGGGGCCGTGGGTTCAGGTGCGCCGACTAGGGCATGTCAGCTCAGAATTTCGTGTATAAGCGCAGTCTTGAGCCACGGAGGTCGAAACGGACATCGCCAACATGCCAATTGCGAAGCGCTGCATCAGACGCGATGGAAACGAGGCCATTGAGACGACTGGCGATGGGACATACCTTTGTCTATAGCTGGGGCGATTCCGTCCGACATGATGATGACGTAACAATTGGTGTCGCAAGTTGACTCTAGCTTATGAGCGTGTGTTTGCGCGACGCAGCGAAGTCAATAATGGATACGCGAGATGTTTGCGATAATTTCTGAGGCTACAAGAGTGAGGCAGCTTCACAATGTTGATGTAGGAAGGAGGTCAAAGTCGGGGAACGAGACACGAAGAAGGTGAGTGAGGTTGGCAGAGAAAGGCACGAGGCAAGTCACGACGGTCGGTTCCACAAAGCCATGTCCATCCACAGCTACCTTGCCTACCTTGCCTAGAAACAGAAGCAGCATGGACAGACAGAGAGAAGCCAGAAGCAAATTGGTAAGGCATGGGTAGCTCCGAGGCCGAGGCGGAGGGCGCACAAACAGCATCGAGGTTCCTCACCCGCGGGGAACGAGTGACAGGATACTTGGACGGGATGAGCAAGGGAATTGGAAGAGGAGAACGCATAGCACGCATTGGGTCAAGGAAAAGCGCCCTTTCGTCACTCGACTGCGACTCTGTGGACTGTGAGGTTAGCCCAAGGAACACCCGTACTTGACGGTGTGAACTCTGTAGATCGGGACGGACTTGGTCGTCATCTCGGATTGGCTTTTGGGTTCTGGGTCAAGGATCCCAGTTCCCAGTCCTTTTGCTTCCCAGCTTCATTTGCGTGCTTTGCGGGGAACAAGAGGGAGCTTTGGTGGGTCGGGAGTTCCTCGAAGGAACCACAAGCTTCAATTGTAAGCCACCGATCTGGGAAGACAGAGGACTTGAGGTGTGGACCGCCGGAACCAGTGAGACACAGGACGGGTTTAGTACCGGTACTTGACTTTGCTGGGGAAGTGGACGCGAGGTCGGCGGAGAGGAAGAGACGGGAGGCTCTGTGTTCATTTAGTACCAGGCGGTAAATGTCCAGTGACGCAAGGAAACGTTCTTGTTCAACAACATTATTAAGCCGTGGTTGATATTGATCAATCGGCCGATGACCTATATAAAAAAAAAGACCTCAAGTGACCAGCCAAGCAAAGCCTCTGCTGTCTCAAAAGCTGACCAGCATGACGCAGAATTGACAATCGCAAGCCCTGCAATCTGCAAGTCATGTCATGGTCCAAAATCAATCCATGTTAGCAGATCGGCATCGGCCAAACCAGAGCTTGTACCTCACCAGCCACAGAAAGTCGCGCACCGCCACATCCAATTCAGGGGCAGCCATCGTGAGCTTAGTCACCCCTGTCTGTCCCCAATCGCCAGCTTCAAGGTGTCCCCTTAGAGTGGCTTGACGCGAATAACGACGAGACATCCAAACGCGATCCCCCGAATTTCCCACGCTCATTTTGTCGTTCGCAATCGAACTTTGATCTTCCTTCTCTTGGGTTTGATTCCTCATTTAATCTCCTTCTTCCAAACGATACCCCCCTTCTAATCGCCCGCCATGGCCACAACTAAGAACAAGTACTCGGTTATCTTACCAACCTACAATGAGCGCAAGAACCTGCCCATCATTACCTGGTTGTTGAACCGCACCTTTACTGAGAAGTCAGTACTCTCTGCCATACATATTTGACAGGCAAATGCTAACGTAAGCAGCAACCTCGATTGGGAACTCATCATCGTCGACGACGGCTCCCCCGATGGAACCCAAGAAGTTGCCCAGCAGCTCGTCAAGGTCTACTCCCCCCACGTTGTCCTCAAGCCCCGCGCTGGCAAACTCGGTCTCGGAACAGCCTACGTCCACGGTCTCAAGTTCGTCACCGGCAACTTCGTCATCATCATGGACGCCGACTTCTCCCATCACCCCAAGTTCATCCCCGAGATGGTCGCTCTTCAAGCCAAGGGCAACTACGATATCGTCACGGGTACTCGCTACGCTGGAAACGGCGGTGTCTTTGGTTGGGATCTCAAGCGCAAGTTCGTCAGCCGTGGCGCCAACTTGTTCGCCGATACTGTCCTCCGCCCTGGCGTGAGTGACCTCACGGGCAGCTTTCGACTGTACAAGCGTGCTGCGCTGGAGAAGGCTATTGCTAGCACTGAGAGCAAGGGATACAGTTTCCAGATGGAGCTTATGGTGCGTGCGAAGGCTATGGGATGCACCGTCGCTGAGGTTCCCATCTCTTTCGTCGATCGTCTTTATGGAGAGAGCAAGCTTGGTGGTGATGAGATTGTTCAGTATGCCCAGGGTGTCTTCAACCTGTGGCTCAAGGTCTAAGAATGAGAATGACAGGCACAAAAGGGACACATCTTGTTGGATGGGGGCGTTTGGGGAAGTATAGTACCGTTTAATCTAATACCACGTTTCTTCGTCAATTGATGCTCTCCTCGACTGATCCGGGAGTCCTATCTAACTCGTCGCCTGGATATACTCTACATATTACGACCTCCAGTGACCATGATGGTCTGACCTGATACATACGAAAACAATGGGCTCGCCACAGCCAGAACAGCGCTCGCTGCCTCAGTCGCAGTACCGGGTCTCCTCAGTGGAATATCTGCATGGGCACTATCCCCCGCCGCCTCCTTCTGCTTTGTTGGAATGCCCAGTGCAATTTTCTCACCATCTGGCCCAGTAACAAATGCGCCATCTTCCTTCGCCGCCGTCAATCTGGTGAGGATATGTCCAAAGGCAACAGTATTCGCTCTCACGCCGAAGGAGGGACCCCACTCCTTTGCAATCGTCTTTGTGAAGCCTGTGACACCTGCCTTCGCAAGAGAGTAGTTGAGCTGTCCTGCATTGCCGTGCACTCCAGACGTAGATGAGATATTGACGATGCATCGAGGGGCACCATCGCGTACGCGGAAGTAAGGTGCTGCTGCGCGGACGAGAGTAAAAGGGGCAGTACAGTGAAGAGCGAGAATAGTGTCCCACTGCTTGTCTGTCATCTTGTGAATGACACCGTCCCAAGTGTAGCCCGCATTATTGACGATGATATTGATCTTTCCGTCGCCAAATTCTGCAGCCTTCTTGACCAGATCGTTGACATATTCTGCCTTGAGAATATCTCCGGGCACAGCTATAGCCTGGCCGCCATTCTTATTGATGCCATCAGCAACAGCCTTGGACTTTTCTATTCGAGCTAGAGTTAGACACCAATGTTTTATGAGCAAAGAACAAGGCCACTAACCCGCGTCGATATCTGCAACAACAACTTTCGCGCCCTCTTTGGCAAAGAGCCTGGCAGCTTCTGCACCGATTCCTTGGCCGCTGCCTGTGATGATAGCTACTTGGCCAGCGAGTAGGCCTTTGGGGTAGTTGAGATGACCAGCGAGTTGACTAACACGGTCCGACATGTTGATTTACTGTGTATTGTGTTATCGGGTTATTCAAGTAAATTATTGAAATAATGAACAGGACCATAAATCATGGACATTTCCCCGGATTCAGGTCCTTTAATGGCCCCGGGGATCGACGAGATCGACGTATTTGAGCCGAGGCTCAATGGCGGTATGTGGGGTAGCTCCGGGCTTGACGGGGGATAACATTAGGGAGCAAAAAGATCCTGACCTTGACCTCGACAGTCAAAAATATTTAGTCTAAAGATGCACTAAGTCCGCAGTGAAAATGCCTGAAATATCCTTGAATTACTTAAGTATTTTGTCACTTCCAAAGAAGGTCCCAGGTTTTTTTGCACCCCTCCCCCGGAGATGTGATATATCAGCGTTGATGATAAGTTATACCTTGGTTGGATTTCGGTATTTCTGTATAGAAATATCATTTCGGCACGGAGATAGAGGCAGCCACCATCTCAAGGATTTGGTATACTGAGGTTCTTGCTTTCATCGATACTTCTTCCCTGAAATGTACCAGCCGTACTTCGTACCATGCCCCCAATTACACTTCGTGATGATGCTTTCTGAGTTCGCATACTTTCTTATTTTCAGAGTTTATATAGAAAGACAAAAACTGTAATTTAGGGCTCACTACAATAAATATTATCTAAATTCTTGCAAGCTTTAGGTGCCTTTCTTCCAAGTTCATCAATCAGTATCCTTCCATCGACTCGAAGCCCAACTATCCATCATGTCAACAAACTCCGGAAGCCGTGGCCTGCTGGAACTCCCAGTTGAAGTTCTGCTGTCCATTCTCGATCACACAGAGCTTTGCGGCTTGTACTGGCTCTCACAGACCTGCAGGACCATGCGGTACCTGGCAAAGAGGGACTTCCGCACCTTGGTCGACACCGACGTTGAAGACAAGGCCGAATTCTTGCTTGGTCTCGCATACGTACTGCCAGACCACTACTTCTGTGGGAAGTGCTGCATGCTTCACATTTTCAACCGCCATGCCCCCTCGATAAAGCCCCGTATCTGCTGGGATTACTCGGTCAACCATCGGCGCAGTTGGGCGACCGGTTACGACTTACAACACCAGCACGTTCAACTGGCATTGAAATACAACAGACTTGGAGGATTCTATAGACATGCAGCTGCAAATATTATGCAGCCCTATCGACAAACATGCTCCAACGGCTCTTTGGGACCAATCTTGCACTTCTCTGCCACGCCTGAGATCAAGAATGGTCGTTTTATCCTACACGAAGAATGGAAACTCCAAGCCGACTTCCCTGCATCTCACGTCCCCTCGTGCGCTTTCATCCCTATCTGCAGCCACTTAGATCTTTTGGGTGGTAGGTCGCTGATGAATGTGGACGAGCGCGTATCGTGGTCGTTGATACGCAAATTAACGCCGCTTGAGAATGGGCAAGTGGAAAGAAGTCGTGTACCTCATGGTTCTTGCAAAATATGCTCAACGAGTTACGATTTCAGTGTCTCCAAGGAGAACGGCACTGTTGTAAATGCAACGCACGACTACGGTTCATTCAGTTCACTGGATGAGTGGAAGAGACGCAGCTGGAAAAGACGCTCACATAGCCAAGAACCAATCGCGGTTGACTTTGTTTTTCTTGAAAACGATTTGGGAGAGTTTGAGGAGGCCGATTGGCGTCGTTCGTACAATGCTTGATCCTTTGGCTTTGAAATGTCGGTTAGTACATTTCAGAAAATACGTGTTGTTGATCTATCACGTCTACAAGACGCAAGAAAACTTGGAGCTCCTATTAAAATGACTTGGGCAAGTTTGGTACATATTTGCAAGCCTTGAGACCAGTCCAGTTTTGGCACAATGTTTTAGTATAATGAGCTTCTTGCTCCCTGGGGCCTGTCTATATAGGTTCCCAAGTAAATGACACATCTGTTCAAATTATATAACTATAGCTTGAAATCGCTGTTTGTCTTTTCCCGGCCTGCAGTGGAAGCCTCCAAGCCAGCGACCCTCTCCGTAAGCTTGAGCTTCAAGTTCTTATGCCTCTCGGTACACAGCTCGTACATAGTCGATAGGTTGAACAACAGCGTATGAGACGACAAGCCAGATTCCACAAGGCCTTCCAATATTGCGCGTCCCTAAGAAAGTTTAGTGCACTGGCCATCGCATGTATCACAGATGAACATACCTCCTGTATCCGCCCAAGATACAACAAGCACACGGCTGTGTTAACGCCGACCATCTCGTCGTCCAGGCTTTCTTTCAGTTCCTTCCACGCTTCGAGGGCTGTCTCGTACTCTGCGTCAGCCATGTCACAGAGTGCTAGGATTAGCTTCTCGACGTTTTCGTCGTTTTCCATGGCTTGCCGTGCGCAGGACCTTGCACTTTCTACATCCCCCAAGTGCAGCCATAGAAGTGCTTTGGTAAGTGCCATCTTGCCATCACCTCGATCCCGTAGGGTGCTGAGGTGATGCGCCGCACCTGTCAGGTCTTCAAGCTCAATCAGAGCTCCAGCAACCTGGATCCCAAGATCGTAAAGACGAGCTTTCCAGAGTTCCCTTGCTGAGTTGTCGTGCTGGGCTGCTGCCTTGCTGATACGGTCACGAGCTTCGCGAGCCAGGTCGTGGTAACTCATGACGGCTCGGCGATAATCGCCGAAGCCAAGCGACTGAAGGCGTACATTGAGAACTCTGAGTTCCCAAGGCACTAGGTGCTCGCCAGTAGTTTCGTCTACATACCTCCTGATGTCATTGAGATCTTCCAAGGCTTTGACCTCCTGAGCAGCCAAGGGAGTCGCATCAATCAGGGTAAGACATGCCAATCGAGTGTAAAGAAGCTCAAATATCCTTTTGGAATCTGTTGGGTTGATTCCTCCACTGGCTCCAGAGCCTGTGAGTTCTTGAACTGCAGCTATGGCCGCTGCTCTGAAGTGACCGCTGGCAAGGAGCTCCTCAATGGGAGCCTCAGGATTGGGCTGCTTCTGTGGGTTACGAAATGCAACAGGGATGTTGAGAGGCGTCAAAGGGTGATAAATCTCTGGCCTTAGAAGAAATGAAAAGTCTTTGGGTCTAGCCTCTCCCAGTTGCGAGACTGGAGTTGCTGTAGATGACCGCGGATGTGGCGATGATATCCTATTGCGGTGCGTAAGTACTCGCTGAGGGGTAGTCGCTTGTTGAGGGGACAATAGAGGGTCACTATGAGTTGAGAGTCAGCCTCGGGTCGTGATCTCACCGACAACGCTTTACTCACTCATCAAGATCGAGAGGTCCTTTCGTAGAGGATCTCGGTCGGGCTGAGACAGAGTTAGCCGTGTCGCACCGGTATCGCTCATGTTAACGATGCTCATTTGGAGACATGAGAAGCCCCGCTCATGCAGCATCGACGTCTCCCGCGGGAATCATTCTGAGGCGTACTCTTGGTGATGGACTTATTTCTGGAGTGCCCTTGACTCCCTGTTCTTTGCGGTTCACTCATGGCCTCGTATTTGATGAATTATCGATGCCCTTTGATGAAGGGAAGCCTGTGATCTTGCTGCATCATGGTGTGTTCGGATAATCACCGGGAAATCCATTCCAACGACAACAATTCACGACTTCGCAATGTCAAGTCGTGAGAACTCGAATGCAAACAAATCGGAAGTCATAACGCGAAAAAGTGCGCAATTGCTAAGCCTACCTTGTCTAAATTTTTCAATTGTGGTAAAACTTCCATGCATTAGAGCGTACCAGTCACCAGCAAAACTACCTACCTTACCTTACCTTACCTACCTACCTATCTACTGGATCTAGGTTAAGGAGGAAAGAAAACCCAGGACTTTGATCCAAAAAGACAAAAAGATTTAGGGAACTTAGCATAAGGCTAGGACGAGTATGGGGTAGCTATTGCTGAGGTTAATTCAATACCTAATGTGAAGCCTAATGTTATTTTGCTCCCTGAGGCGCATCCCTTCACAAACCTCCCAAGCTCTGATCATTTGCCCACGCAGGCCAACCAAGCAATCTATCCCATAATGATGCAACCACGTGCGCTCTTATAAGCTATGGCTGTCATCGAAAAGCAAAAAGAATGGAGTCTTCTAGAATCAGTGGTATTTGCGATTCTTACACCCCTTGACACGCGAAGTAAACCCAAGCTTGGCCCGACCGAAACAGTATAAACAGAGACCTTTTGCTTTAACTTCGTTCGCTAGCTTGTGAACACGTTGTTCTTCGATTGCCACTGATAAAAATTAGTCTCAGGTTAACACGAATGGCACAAGACCCGCCCATATAACGGATCATGTGTTGGAAGAAGGGAAGTGGATAGCTTACAGCAAAGTCGAAGCCCAAGCTCCTTGTCGGGCATTCCCGCGACGTAGCTCAAGTGAGAAGGCTGCAGCTGCCTGACGAGTTTCTTGCTAAAAGTAAAGAAAGCATCTGGGTTTTGCATCCAGTAGGCGGCAGATGTGAGCTGCCATGTCTCTTCAGGGTCGTCTGCCCAAGCATACTTCGCAAACCAATACACTGAAGCGAAGGCAAACCGCGATACCAAATCGTATTTATCAACAAGAATCGATATCTTCTGGATATCTTCGGGGTCGAAGTCTTGTGTCGAGGGATTGGCCCCGTAGAGCACAAGGATCGTGTTGTCGAAAGCGAGAGGGTCGTCGTCGGGGAGCTCGAGAACCATTTCGGGATCTCCAGGCTGGCGTCCGCGCAAGCGGTCGCCTTCTTCAAAATTTGGCCCAAACATTACTGCGAATACAGGCGATATTTCGCACAGAAAGGCAGACGCAACTCTAAAGAGAGTTCTGTGGGGACCAACGGCGAGGATTAAATCGCCGCCTGGGATTAAGTCCCGGACAAATCTGGATTGTGCCACAGTCTCGTTGGCGTCTTCCGGGCTCGACATGACTAATTGATCAGGTGTAAGATCCATTTGAGACCAAGCGTAGCGGGCACCTTGCAAATAAGAAGAAAAGGGCGTCTCTGTACTGCTTGGTGTAGCAAAGTGGTCAACGGGGCTCATGTCTTTTGGAGTCTGGAAGAGGAGAAGGCTGCTTGCCAAAGTGGTAGGCCATTTTCTAGCCACACCAAGGACACGGTCTTATAATTGGGTGGACGACCTGGAGGGGAGTGATTCATGATCATGGCCGACCTCATTGTCGTAGCATCACTTGCTTATATGCTCTGCGCTTCAGCCTCGACAAGACAACAACCGTGAAAATGTGCAAGAATTGGCATACGCATGTCAAGGGGCCGAAAATGATCAAAGTTCATGTCCAAGCTTACGATCTTGTTTTCCCAAGATTTTCAGAGTCTATTCTGAAGCATATGTTCGCCTTCCGGAAGTCTCGTACCTTGACTTCGGTGATACGGGACTACGCAACCAATTGACTCTGATAAGCCTTTCTCGTTCTGCGTGACTATTTGCATATCTGAGCAGCAAATGAGTGACTTTTGCTTTGACCTTCGTCTTCGTGATTCTATGGCTGCGCCTTCTCATCGCGTGGCCTCTGAGTGACATACACGCCCCAAACTGGGAATGTCTTCATGGCCCTTGCCAAAGACGGGGAAACATCAGTCTGTCAATACCGGCAACCAACAGCTCAATTTGCTTTTCCTTGCGACTTTCGCTCTTCAACTTTGTTGCTCCTCAAGTCCTGCGTAGATTTCTTTGGTAGCTTATACTGCCTGTTCGTGTCTCACTGTCACAAGCGTTCCGGGCCCGGGATCGTCTGCCATTGTTCTCACCAGCCCTTCTCCCATGTACACGACGCCGTCGTCGTCGTCCTTCTTGTTGTTATTGGTCGACTTTTCGCTCTTCAACTTCCTTGACGAGAAAGTTCTGCACAAACTTCTTTGGTAGTTTGTACTGCCTATCCATGTGCTCTCGTTTCTCCTGCCCTGTCCAATCCCTGATCCTTTTCTCTCTCGCAACCATTGGTCTTCTTGAAGCGATACTTTTTGTTACTTGTCACTTTATTCCGGTCATTTCATCCGCCTTCGCACTATAGAGCACTCCGTCCTTTCCTCTTTCATCCTCCCACAACCCCCGCCGATATCCAGTCACATTCCCAAGTCAAACATACGACTCCTGGCGTCTCTAAACTACCACCATGCCGATCCTAAATCCCAGTCCCGAATCCTCTACCACACGGCCAGACTCAAACCAGAGCATGCCAAACCAAGAGGGTGCAAACCTGGTTGAGAGTAGGAAACTTCTTGCTTACTCCTTTCGTTTTACTGACCATGCTTTAGGGACACCAAACCCCGAGATAGACATAATAAGCGACGGTAATCTTGTTCTTGTCGTCGGACCAGATAAAAAGCGGATCGTAATTACAGAACAGGCTGCCCGCGCGTGTTCAAGTGTTCTAGCAGACATGCTTGATCAACTCGATATCATTGCCGCTGACAATATGGGGTTGGTGTGTGAGCTTGTGCTTCGCAATGACAATCCACTCACGGTTCTAAACGCGTTTGGCAGCATATATCCTGGCCATCCCCATACCAATGATCTGTCACCAGCAGAGATCTACGATGTGGTCGTGTTTGCCAGGCAGTATAAGATGATTCCTGAATTCAAGAAGGTCGCTCCGAACTGGTTCCGCCCAAGGTTTTGCGGCATCAGCCTTCATCCTGTGCATGAGTTCTTTGGTCTGGGAGAATGTTGGCACTTGATGATGGCAGCGCATTATATGCGTCTAGATGATCCCGATGCTCTCCCTGATCTCCATTTTGCATTCTCCAAACTGAGCGAGCGACTGGTGAGGGACAGGGACTCATATCATAATGCCCGATTATTAGAACCGGGGCCAGATGCTCGCGATATTGAAGTCGATATTTACTGTAAGATACTCATCCCCCTCCATCATGCCTAACTGACTTGAATTGATCCAGACTCGATTCGTGAGGCCAGGCGGAAGTATGCAACAGAAATGGAACAACATCGTCAATTTGGTTGCATGGGAGGCGCTGGACCATGCATCGAATCAATATTTACATGGCGCTATGAAAGCCCCTACCACTATGAAAGCTTCTACTTGTGTCGGCCCTGAACATAAAGAACATGAACAATTATTTTAGCGGGTTTCAAGAGAGCTTGAATTCAATGAGTACCAAAATCTTCACAGAATTTACCAAGAGTTAGATAAGTTCAAAATGGGTCAAAGCTGGGTTATCGGTCACTTTCATTTTGACTTTAGCAAGCAAATGTCTGGTCTTTCTTATCTTTGACTACTTTTTCTTATATCAGACTGCTTTTTCTTACAGTAGACTACTTTATTCTTATTCTTAGGCGACCTTACTGAGGCTAAACGATGTGAGGTGGGACCGCGCACAGAGCTCGGCTTAATGATGGCAATCACAGTTGGGGAATTCAGCTCAGACAGGTACTAAAACAAACCGTGTCTCGTCAGTTCATATATTGAGGAACAATGATTTAAAGCATTCGAATCTCCTCTTGGGTCTTCCCAAATACTGGTGCGCTCATCTCAATTTTCCCTTATGCCTGTGGAAGCCATGGAAAATGACGCTCAGGACGGGAGCAATCCGCACGCTTTCGAACGAAAGAATCAGTTGCTTGAGAAAAGCAGAACATACAAAGGCCCATCTTTCCTCCCCATCCATTCCTATCGTCCAATGAGGCCCTGCGTACTTCCTCAAGGGCCACTGAGATGAGCATCGTCAGTATTTGTATATGCGCTGCAATATTGTCATAACTTACATCCGAGGCGCAAGCCAGTATAATTTTCAGGAAAGCTGTCTGCGAACTCGAGGAGACTTTCCTGTCCAAACTGCATACCGTAAGTTAAGTTGTAGAACGCCTGGTCATCCTTGAGAAGATATGCCACGATCAAGCCGTTCCAGTCATTTTGGGTAACTTCTTTGCTGTCCTTCAAGGCGGCATTACGAAGCCAAAAGGATGCGAAGATTTCGATACGCGGAACCATTCCGTACTTCTCTGCGAGAATTGCCATATCCTTGACTTCATGAATCGGGAGGTTTTTGGCGCCTGGGTCTGAGCCATAGAGGGTGTACAGTAGTTGCGCCATTGGCAGTGCCTTATCCTCAGGAAGATTGATCTCAACCGGGGGGTCACCGTCGTTTCTGGTAGCAAGAGCTTGTCCTTCTTTCATTGGTGCATTGAACATGGCTTGGAAAAAGGGGGAGATGAGTTTGAGGAAGTGCGAAGAGACCTGAATCTTGTGCTGGCTTTGGCCAACCACCAGCATGACATCGCCGTCGTGAGTGATTTTGACGACAGAACTTTCTACTTCAAAATTTAGTAATTATCAAAGCTTTGTGATGGAATGCAACTGTAACATACCGGGAGAATCACCTCTGTCGGCGCTGAGAACGGGGCGCGAAGCCTCCATCTTCGCGAAGATGACGAAGATGAGTGAAGATGGAGAGCGGAGAGAGGAGAGAGTTGCCCTTTGTGAAAAGATTCTGGTTCTCCAGGCTCACGGCGCTTACTCAAAGCAAAAGTAGGAGAAGGTGGTTCAGCCTGGAAGCACCTGCCAGATGCCAGTGAATCATTGCCTGATGCCCAGGCTTGACTGGCCCTTGCATCTTGGATGGATATTTTGCCATCACGTGGACTTCAAGGGTGGAATTGGCAATCTCTAAATTACCTTAAGCAGTGATAGAATATGAATAAATTTTGGCTCTTTGTTCTTGCCAATGCCTAACATGAGTTGCGATAAAATTGACATGAAACACCTTTCCGTTGCTTGCTCTCGAGCTTGGATATCAGGTTTGCCTGAGGTCAACGTCGAACAACTCCGAGCCTACATCCTGCAGGCTTGCTTCTGAGAAATCCAATCACCAATCAGTTTGGCACTGTGACAAGAAACAAAACCATTGTCGCAAAAGGCTACACCAAAAAGGAGGTCAACAAAGTCAGCAAACTTACAGCGGCCATCTATAAATACAATCCAACTCCCTCGCTCAGCATCATTGAAATCTCTCTTTCCTTATTTTCAGATCACCAAGGCATGCTATCAAGTTTCTCTTACTTACATATTCTATTCAAGTCTTGCACAATGTTTCTCTTTGCCGTTACAGGTATCCGAGATGCGACACTCCTGCTTAAGGCACAGACAATAAAAGACCACTAGATGGCCTCGCCTTGGGTTACAAAGGCTCAGAGCACCTGATACGTAGGCCATCGGTATAATATAGAGGTTATTTTATGTTTCCAGCTGGAAGATGCAAAGCATTGGCAGATTTGGGTTGGTGTTCATCACATATTCTGAGCCTTCGACATAAACTTCTTCCTCATTCTTCACAACACCGAGAAGAGTGGTATTAACCCTGCTTCCACGTAGCTTACGAAGCTGATCCCTTTCAGATATTCTTTTCGTACCAAACGGAATGCTTATCCTCGCCATTGATGAAGCTCGCATCAGGGTTTATATTAACCCAAGAATTTCTTTGTGCGACGTCGCCGTGCTCTCTGTGATGTCGACCACCAACTTTCCATAAGTCACACGATACCGCGCTTCTTCAGGCCTCATCATTGTCCCTAACGGGACACCGATTCTCGTCACTAGACGAATATCTATGGACTAAAGTTTCTTATGCTCTATTATCCGTAACCTAACGGCCAGAATGACCTCCACAGAACTCCCCTGGAATGTCCTCAAAGCCTCGAAGGAAGCTGATGTTGCACCAGAGGCAGAGATCAACAGAGCCCAACCATTTTTTTTAGTCTTTATATAGTAGAGATTCAAGGAGTTATGATTGCAAACTCACCGAACCGCACAGATCTTTCGTCTGGCTCACCAGACTCACGATGTCGGCCTAGGCCTAAAGCTAGGCAGTGAGTTCTTACCAATATACATCTCTTATCTTGTTGTGATATGGTGCTGACTTTTGAGAACATTGGCCCTTCTTCTGTTGCACTATGCACTCTCACAGCACATGGCGCATCCAAAGGGGGGGCTATGTCTACGACGCTTCAAAATTACGGCAGACGATCCCGTGGGCATGGAGCCAGGTTGCCCCAATCCATCCAACCACCGGTCTGGTTGATTGTGTCAATCTACGCATTGGCGGGTGCACGGGGGTCTGGCCATGTCAGATACATCGGCGGAGAGGAAGAGTGACCTGCATAAATGCAAGACAAAAGCAAGCCATGGTTCAATGCTAAGATTGGGTCTTTAATATGAGTGGCGGAACAAGCATCCTAGTTGGTTATATGCTTTCCGGTCTATAACTTCTCTGCCCATATTGCTAGACGCTTGTAATTAAACGTTTTGTTTTTCCCCTGGCGGCCTCCCAGCGACAAGCGTGCCGTTTGGCACTACGTTTATGAAGGAGACTCAGACGACTCCAACTTTACCCTTTCCCAGGCCCTAATGTACCCCTGCAAGGAATGCATCCAGCGTCTTCTCGAATACGGCCATCCCATCGCATATATCGCCGGCTCTCGTTCCTCGTTCAAGCGCTGCTCGAAGGTGAAGTCCAGTTGTACCTAACGAAGTAACTTATTCGCCACCTCCCCAGACTTATGCCGTCTCGTTCAAGAGATCCAAGAGAACACCAAGACCTATAAGCACATCGTTGGCGGGAAGCAGACCTTTGACACCTACATCGCAGCTCAGCCATACAGACTGGATTTATGTTGTACTATACCGCCTGAAGCTTGCCGGTCAGTCTATCAATTTCATAAATCCCAGTTATTAAACATGCACCTTGTTCCATCGCCCGTGTGACCCTTCTTCCATGTTCAGGCTCTGGGCATCAAATCCTCCCTTCTGACTTCATCCGAGGAGGCATTAATGTTCCAGCACTTCAAGCAGCTAGTAAGATTTCTCATTCAGTCTCACCATGTCTTCTCTCTGCCAGGAGTACTCAATTTTGTGGGTTCTTATGACGGAAAGGGGGATTCAGCGTACGAGAACTGCCACTGTTGGCGTTGTTTACTTGGTTCACGATAAGGCTGCGCCTCTCATGTGTCGAGATACAGAAGCCAGTTTGGAGAGTCTGTGTGGCTTTCTTTGGTTATATATGCAAATGTAACTTGTATTATTCAGTACATATTCTGGAGCGTTGATCCTGGCTTACAAAACATCACATAGAAATCGGTATCTAGGAGGCCCTGAACTTCCAGGCCGAGTCACTGTTTACAATGAGCAGCTTGTAATGTAAGTAAAGTCTTCCTCATATCTCCATGTACTCTTTGTTCTGTGTTTCTGAAATCTTCTTCAATTGTTTAATCTCATATGGTAAAAAGCGCAGCTTATCAAGCTTTTCTTTGCAGTTTCAGTCCTTCCCCCCAAGCCACTCATTTGACTGTGTAAGTGACGAAGTTGTGCTGCCGCTGGCAGTGTGGGCATCTTTAGGTAACGTTTTGTAGCAACTAAAAATACCCCTTTTCTTCAATTTCATTACCGCAATAAACCAGTGAGTCGATGAATAGATTTGGAGGCCGGTCGACTTTCCTAGGTTCATACTTGGTCATCCTCTCATATGAGGAAACATAACGCACGCCTCGGACGTGGCGCGTAACATGAGCCAAACATCCTGAGATGAACTTGGGGGACGATATACTGTTAAACATGTGGAGTCAAATTCGTCGTGGAAGCTTACTGCGATGGGTATTGCATGATGCTGGCTTGCAGAGACCTGCCTGTCCGAATGAAAAACTTGCTGATGCTGAAGAACTACCTTTCCATTCGGAACAGGTAGGCGGCCTGGTGGTCTGGCCGGGTTGTTGTCGCCGCTGGGCGGAACCTCTTCACCATGTCATACTTATTTGCCGAGGCAGACGTCTCGGATGCCCCGAGGCTCTGCAGTGAGTCACTCAATGTCTGACCCATAGAGTACCCGGAGCGTAATTATCATTGCGATACATTCCTGCCTGGACATGGAATAGAGCACATCGGAGTGGTCTCGGGTGATATATATAAGGCGTTTCGCTAGTGATGTTGATGGAGCCGCGTCTTTGCTGCGTTTGAGTCGCGGTATAGTCGTGTTGGAGATTCTTTGGATGTTGCGTTCGGGGATGAGGAGGGTGAGTGCCGACCACTCTTTCTCAAATTGAAAGGCGTCGAGGTCTTCTCTTGACACCACCTCTCCGGAGTATGAGAAGATGTTCTTGGTGATGGCGCTGAAGTCGCGGCGCACCAGTCTTATTGGCAATAGCGAATCTATGTATACGGATGCCTTTGCACTGGGTTGAGACAATGTCTTGCACTCTTGCAGGATCTTAGCTTTATTCGTCACGACAGCGAGCTTCAGGATCATCCATTCTTCCTTGTTTGTGGGCTTACCACAGATGCCGCCTTGTGAAGCAGTAACGCGCTCGTTCAACGAAGCTCTCTTGGCTGTGGAAAAGCATCCAAGGCAGAGGCCAATATTCACGTGGTTTGTGAAGTTTGCGAGCTGCACAGATTCTATGGCCACTGTTCTAATCGGGGCTTCCATAATGGTCTTGTCTGAAAAATGGCTTACTGCCCGACTTCAAGCCAAGGTGCTCGTTGGGTGTTCCCGGGGCATATTTTAGAACTGGGGCATCAGTGCGAATGAAAAGCTGGATGATGAAGAAACCTTCGCCGTGGTCAAGCCAGTGTGACGCGATAAGAAGTTCGAACCCTGCTTGAAGATGGGGTCTGTTGACTGAGCCCGTTGCTGTTTCACACCAGAGGGAGCAGATAGGTTCGAAGCGATGTCTACCTCAGGGGGGTAAAGGGCGCAGGGTTTGATCCGTAAAGGATCTGGACGATGGTACACTGACTCCGGATCATCCTTCTGAATCTCAACACGAGTCTGCTGTCCGTCAACTCGATGCACGAGGGGGGGTTTTTTTTTCCTGGTTTTTTTTCTTGGTGTCGTTGAGTAAGAAGCTCTCTCGTTGATCCAACCCTCCCCGTTGATGTCCTGGCATACAGCCAGACTTGGACCATCTTGGCCCCGACGACCAGCATGATGTCGCCGCCAGCAACTACTGTCCACGGTCCTAGGTCTTCTGCAAAATATTAGTGCTCGAACTAGTTCTGACTTTTTCTTCTTTCCACTTATCGATTGTTTTTCGCGCTTACAAACTTCTTGTCATTATGACCACTGGAGAATCAGCAAGTAAACGGTTACGAATAGACATGCCCAGGTTAACAGTTGGAGCTGTTGAGAAAATCGGCATGCTCGAAAATATCGATCCTGATGGCGGCGACATTTTATTTTTGAAGATGACATGAAGAAACTCCAAGTTTACTCATCCCAAAGCGCCTCGCCCGTCTTTGCGGTCCTGTCCGCGGGACAACTTCAGAAAAGACCAGATGCTCCAAGAAGTGGCCCTTCAAAACAGCCAGGCTGAGAGCCCATTTCCCGAAGGCGATTAATTCCCCGTCATTCATGAACTTGTCGCTGCCATCTCCGTCCCATTGAGATATGTTCCAACCCCGACGCTCAGTTCCTGACAGTACCCATCACAAGCTGCCTTACTATCGTGGCTTCGGAGACGAAGCTCGAGAGTCTTTTCTTGTTTTTTGGAGTTGCCAAGTTTATAGAATGGCTGAACTCTGTACTTATCAAATCACCCCTCACAAGCTTTAACGAAAGGTTCCTCAGTACTTAGCCCTCACAAAATCCCTATAGACTCTACTCATCTTCTCTCTCGTCTTTTTCTTCTTGCAAACACACACCATCAACCAAAAATCCATCAATCCACGATACAATCTCAAGTTATTCATTCAGATATCATCACCAATTCTATCTACCAGACCAGTCAGTCTAGATACCTCACCAAGCCTTTCAATCACTAGAAGACAAGGACATTGCGTGCAAAGCGCAGCCATGCCAGGTACTATTGTACGCGTTTCAAAGAAGGAACTTGAGGAACTCATTAAGAGTGTCCTTCATGAGGAGCTGCAGCCCATAAAAGACAGGCTTGATGCCATCAACAAGATGCTCGATGGCCTGACGAACCAGGGTCTGGCACCTAAGACTCCTCCTAAGGAAACCGATATTCGACCTCAGGATTAGAGGCTTATGCGTAAGTTCCAAACTTCTATACATGAATCTTATCTCTTATTGACTAATTCTCATCTCTAGCCAGCCAAGCTTGAAGCTCGCCGAGAGTGGCGACGGGAAATACTTGTAGGGAGCATCAACGGGTCCAAGTATGTTTCTTTCTCGCACGGCCAACAAGACGAGGAATCTATCGCGTATCGCACCCTACCTCGCCATTGACATCTCGGACAAATCTTCACGCAGCTAGGCCACGACGAAAGAAAGGCATCATGTAGCTTGGCCAATGTCAATGGGATACTTAAGCAACCAGATCAGACAATTCGATACCATCAACCCCATTATTTAAGAGACAAGGCTCATGTGTCTCCTACAAGCCCTGTTTCTGAGCTATTGGCAATGCTAGCTATGGCAAACTCATTCTTGCTTCACCAGAAACTTGTGGAGGACATTGAGAGTTCGCGAACAGGCCTGTGAGTGATAGAAATACGTCCTTAGAGAGGAAGAAGAAGGCACTTGATCACTTGTTCTCCCCATAAATCCTCGTGCCCAACGGATTAAGACGACGTTTTTCGTGAGTACTACAATATATGCAACCAATCCTTTGAGGCTTTTCACTTCTCAGATAAGAAGAAGTGTTCCAGTGTTAATTAGAGTTGGTGAGAAAGAAAAGCGCCCAGAGGACGACAGAGACTATGGCGTTCTTAAGCAAGACAAGCTACAGATTAATATAATAATCGCATTTGAGGCAGTCTAGTAAATGCGACAACTTTTTATTTATTTTCTAACTCTACCTTAGCAACCTCGTGCATACTTAGGTATTGGGTCCTTCAGTCAGGTAGGGACTTGAACCTGAAGTCAGTGGTAAGACCAGTGTCATCGGAGCTGCACAGGGTAGCCTCCCCACTAAAATTTGTCTCAGTACACATCCATTCCAACCCAGCTTGCTTCCATCTCTATCACTCACAACTCATCATGAGAACTCGGAGATCCAATCGCACGAAGCGATATACAGTAGAGAAGTACGACTTCGAAGGTAGTTCCGACGAAGAAGCTCTAGATCGCGCTTCCAAGCACGCAGAGCGGGATGAAAACTTTGATGAGGCTGCCGCTGCAGAAGAAAGTGCCGAAGAGCTCGCCCTTGGCCAAGAGCACGACGAAAATGATGATGTAGAATCCGACGGTCCTGTGAGTGAACCAGATGGCGTTCTAGACAGATTTTCGCGTCAACGGGTCAAGCCTATTAGGCCATTCAACGTTCGTGCAGCGGGAGTAACAGGATACCTCGATCTTGAGCCTGTGGCGGATGGACGCATTGTGAGATCGTACTGGGGGCCCTACGACCGCGGATTTAAAGGCAAGCAGCTCGTTGAGGCATGGTACGGACGTCATGAGGATGGTGTTAAATTGGTCACGGGTATGCTGGATCGTTGGATGGACTGGACAGTGCTTCCTCCGAAAATTCAGGATGATGAGAGTCAGAAAGATCGAGGTGTTTGGTCGCCTAGCTACTTCGAAAGGGAGGCTTACAGCGCCGAGCATTGGTATGAGCGCGTCAGGGAGAGTTTGCCAGAAGCCGACGCGATGGTACCACTGTCGACCGAGGAAGTTCCACGATACCAGTCTAAGAGAGAGCCAATGCCAGTATTATTAGGGCCGCCCACATCGCAACAAGAGGTCAAATTCGAACCTGGCGACGCATACTCTATATCTCAGAATGGCCTCCCAATGCAAAATGAAGACGCGCCCCTTGGGTGGATTTTAGATGCCGGCGGTATCGTCACCAGTATGGACTGGGCGCCGTTGAACAACGCCAACTCGCCGCAACTTCTAGCCCTGTGCGTTATTCCACACTCCGATCAGGAACTATACGATTACGAACAAGAATCTCTGAATCCAGAGTTCCAAAAGTACGGTACTGTGCAGCTATGGGAGTTCGTCGGAGAGAGGCAAGAGAATGGCTTTGCTCGACCTTCGATGCAACCTCCAATACTGCGCAAGACGATATGTCTCGAATTTGGGCGGGCTCGAAGAGTGAAATGGAGTCCTGCATGCGGCTTCTTGGCCATTCTTTGCGATGATGGAAACGTTTACGTGGTGGAGGCTGGTGACGGCGGAGGAGGGAGTTATGGTGAGTTCAGTGTCTTACTGGTACCAGTCCAATAGCTAACAGTGTTCAGAAAAGGCTGTGCATCCAATAGCTGTATTTGGCTTCCCAGATGAAGATGCCAAAGCGACAGCCCTTACATGGATTAACTTCAACCGCCTGGTGGTAGGTTATACTGACGGTTCTATTGCTCTTTGGTCCCTCCGTCCTCATCGCCTCTTATCTCGGCACCCTGTCCACCACAACATCGTGGTCGATCTCGTCTCTGGCTATCCAGCAATGCCCTATCTCGTTGCCTCAACCCCTGTCGGCGGAACTGTCAAGCTGCTTGACCTTCGTGCACCAAGCTACGAGTCAACCGAAGTCCAGAACCTTACAGTCGGAACACAACCGAATCTGCTTGGATACAGCGACCACCTGCTTGGTTTCTACTCCATGTATCCATCTGCCGGTGTGCTCAATACCCACATCGGCTTCATGCACCATTCGCAATTCCCTGTTGCGCGCCGCGTCTTTACAGGGGAAAGTTTCCCTTCCTGTCTAGCAGTCGGACGAACACACCCATACCTCCTCGTCGGTTCTCTAGACGGCTCACTGTGGGCTATCAATCCCCAAGTTGAACTCTTCACCACGAGACGTGAGCCCACGGACCGCATTCGAGTCTTTCATCATGAGCATCGCCCCGCAAAGCTTTTCCCAGCCGGGTCACCCGCGGCGGCACGAGGAGTGTCAAGAATAGCGACAGGCTTCATATTGGAGCGCAGCCTAACTAAGCATTCAGCCCATAAACCGCCGGTCAAGAAAGGGAAGAAGCCAAAGAAGAAGGATACCGACACGGCTGTCGGAGACGATGAAGAAGAGGGGGGCGCAATTATGGATCCGACCCGAGCCATCATCTACGAGCCATTGACAAGGATCACGGTGGCCGAATGGAATCCTAACGAAGAGTATGGGTGTTGGGCTGCTGTGGCGATGGGCTCAGGTCTGGTGAGGATCACAGACCTCGGCTTGACGATAACAGAAGAGGAAGAAAATTAGTCCATGAGGCATTGAGAGCCCATAATGGTGTGGTGGTAGTCGAAAGCCTTGGCCATACCGTAAAAGTGTGTAACAGCTGCAAGGATGACGAAAATGTGGAAGATCTGATGCGAGCTTCCCCAAATATCGAAGGCGCCAGGTGCGCTTCTCTCGGGCCAACGAGCCTATCAAGTCAGATTTGTATGCTTTACGTGAAGAGTCGGGGAGGACATACCGCATAGAGCACAGCACCAAAAATGTACATGACACCGTGGAGGAGAACCCAGCTGAGACTCATGCGATCTTCAAGACCTTGGTAATCATAGATGAAGAGGCCATGGATGACAGGAACAACGCCAGAGAGACCAAGGCCGATGAACATCATTGCACGATACGGACGCCATGCGGGGGTCCGGAAGCGCTCGACCCATGAAACGATTGTGCATCCAAGACCGAGTATACATATCTACTTTGTCAGTGAATCTCTCTACCATCAGTAAACAACATCATATACTTACAACCCATAGATAAGAGGCCATCAGATTAGGCAGACAGAAGAAGCCGTAATACAGAGCTGGAACGTAGCTTCCAACGATCAAAGCCACGATGCCTGTGTAATCCAACTTGTTCCCCCACTTCGAAACAGTATCGCTGTGATTCGACAGAGTGTGGTACGTGGCACTCATCCCCAGACACACAACAGCGCCCCCAAAGAAGCATGCAAAGACGAGTACATCAGCGCTACTTGCGCTTTCGTACCGTGGACGGACAACTCGGTCGACGTATGCTGCACTAGCGAGAAAGACTATGGCACCGAGGAGGTGAGACCAGATGTTTACGGACTCATTGTGGAGGTAGAAGAGGGAGCGGAATGAATGGGCATAAGAGCCGTGAGATTGGCGGTAGCCCGAGAGGATGAAGGCATTGTCGCGACGCCAGGCTGGGAGATCATCCCAGAGAATGAGGAGAGATTGCTCGACCTTTGATTCGAAGCTCTTAGCGGCATTGATAAGGTTGTCTGTGGCTGAAGGCCGGCGATTGCGAACGCCGTAGGGCTGAGTTTCGGCCATGACGAAATGAGG